ACCACAAATGTTTTCGAACTGCTGTGATTTCTTCTTCAGGTGTAAAACGGAATTTCTGATGGATCAGAGTGAACGGTTTAGAAAATTCAAGAAACATTCAAAGGTGTTATATGAAGCATATGTGTGTTCGTATGGTTGACATAACATAACACTTAAAGTTCGAAGTTCATCAATGCCTGCAAGCCAGCGACAGAACCAACTCATCTTTAAAATTGATGCAGTTGTCATTGAGGGTTGATTTATAGATGTGAATGGCCTCTAGCCACTTAAAGTGCTCCACGTGTGACATAGTGTGGACGAGCTTTGCCTGGTGGAAGGCCGCCACAATGTCCAGATCGGTGGTGTATGGGGTGAGGGCAGTGGTATTTCTCTTATGATGTATGTCTGCTATATGCTCCTGTACTTTGACCTCCAAGAAGCGTTTGGTGGATCTGATGTAAACAAGGTCCCTAACAAATCTGTTGTCCCTAATGGGAATACTATACATGCCAGGGAGTCTGTTCTGGTTGGGGGGTCTTTTCCATTGTGTATGCCACAGTACATATGCCACAGACTCTTCAATCAGAATTTTTGAACTTCAGAAGTCTCCAACCGTCAACTAAAATTCAAAACTATAAAACAAGTATACCTTCTTAGTGTGAAGGTCTCAAAATCTTTAACAAGTAAAAGAATTTACCTTTTTAAATTTTAATTAACTTGAAATGTGTTTTAATGTTTTTGCTTTCCACTCTCTTATCTGAAATTACAACATCACCTAGTGAATCCTCTGGGTGATCTTGTTACTTTGGATAAAGGAATTGATGGTATTGTAATATCTTCTCCTCTTTATGTCTTAGGAGCAGTTACATATTGGTATCCATAAGTACTACACATGAAACCAATATCCAGCAAGAAACAACTAAAACTGATGATGAGTGTTCAACACAAGTGAAAATATTTGCTTTTGTAGATTTTTGTAGTTTCTTGCTGGATATTGGTTTTGTGTGTAGTGCTTATTTACATAAACCCAGTTTGAGTCATTGAATTCATTGGCATCCATTCGTACATAATCAATTTTCTCATTTTATTGAATAACTAGTAATCTAAATTTACTGATTATTCAATAAAATGATGAAATTGATGATAAGTAAACTCACAAAGATGTTGTTCCGGTTTTGTGAGTTTAGTTAAATATTCACATCACTCCACCAATGTAATGTTCCAGTACAAAACATTTTACTTTTAATTTAGTCTGTATGCATTGGGTTTGATGGACTGCTATACTACCCAATGAAGGCCCCTAAATGGGGCTGAAAATGTTTGTGTGATTAGTAAATATAGAGCTGGAGTAGATACTGAGGTTTCTATGTGAGTTATACACAGTATATTAACCAGTCAATTGCTTTCATTTTTTCCCCAGAAATATAAAAGGCAAAAACCTCTCTTATGGCAAAATTCTGAATGTCCCTGCAATGGAATGTACAGTATAAAAATGAATCAGTACAGTACAGCAAGAATAAAGTTTTAACATAAAAAAATTTTTTATTATAGCCTCATGTTAACTTAATTTTAATTTTATTTAGCAGCTTATGTATACAAAGTTGATTCATCTAGTGATCATTAACATAATTTTAATAAACAGTCAATAATAAACAACTGAAGAGGGGCAGGAGGTCCAAAATGCATTTCCTTGTATAATAAAGTTGGAGTAATCAATTACTGGTGTGTTTCTTATATAATTTGTTCTCTTAAACAAAATTTATGCTTATCATTAAAGGATATATCAGGAGAATAAGTAGCTGTTAAACAACAAAAGAAAAAAATTATTTTCTAGCAAATTTTACAAATATAGAAGTGAATGACATTATAACTATTCACACAATAAACAACCTAAATAAATTTACTTAATGAAGCCAATAATTTTCTTTTAGGTACAATTATTCACACAACATTCTTCTCAACCACTTCCTGATCTTGTAAAATGCATCGTAATCATTAAAACTTTCTTCTAAATATTTTCTCACTATGCTTAAATGAAACAGTGCATCTTTATGAAAAACGGGTCAATTTTTGAACAATTGTCATTTCTTCATCTTTCCCCGTTCACTTTCTTTCAATCATATTGTATATGTTAACAAATCTCAAGAAATACCGTAGTGTAGAGAGTCCTGTTGCTTCTTTTTTCGATGTTCAAATATTTGCATTGATTTAAATTCTCTTTACATAACTGTCTTCTATAATATTAACAAAATGAAGTATTTTAAATACCAACCGCCGAGTGAGCAAGCCTGCCCATTAGTTGCCGGTCTCAAGCCCAGTAAATGATGAGGTTGGTGTCAGTTAGGGCATTCAACCATAAGACTTATATGCCAAAACCAAATAGAATAATAGATAAACATTGAATATACAAGAGTTTGCGTGTACCTAGCAAGTGATGGACACCCACATTGCCCGAAAACTGCAAGAACTGGAGCTTGGGTTACCAAACCAAGGACAGGTTTGGATAAAGAAGTTAGTTCTATGAAGAAAAAGAGAAGGGTATTTCATGTTAGAATGAGAACATTAAACATTGAGACAATAACTGGAAAGAACAGAGCCAGTGAACTTGATGCCATAAAATAGGCCGAGAATCTTATGCCTGCAGAAAACTAGATGGAAAGGAGGTAAAGCAAGGGAACTGAGGAATGCCTGTAAACTGTTCTTTGGAGGAACAGATAAAAAAGGGATGAATAGAATAGGTATTATAGTCAACAAGGAGTTAAGAAATGATGTTTGTGATGTAATCAGAAGTAGTAACAGGATCATGAATGTTAAGCTGGAGATAGGATGTTTTGTCACAATATAACACCAAAAATTAACAGGAGGTCCAATGTTATCAACGAGACAAAGTTAGAATTATTACGAAAAATTCTAAGAATGGTATAAGTTTGAGATCTTTGTCGTCATATTTAGTCATTCCTGTAAACAAGTCAACCCTTTCACATATATTTACACTTCCAAATGGCTACAGTAGGCCTATAAGAAGTTACACATCATCTCAATTGTTTGACACTATCTCTGACTTTGCTTCAGCTTTCAAACTGGTCCTTTATAGGAAACAAACATCCTCCAAGCATCTTGAATGACAGATTTGTGCACAACAAAAGAATTGTTCACTAGGCCTATGCAATTAACAGTCAGTTTTGACAAGTAATTTTTTATACGAACAGAAATTATAATTACTGCATTTATACTTTTAGGACACAAAAATATCATTAGATGTTAATAAACAATTTTTTATTACAGGAACTTATTTATTACATATCACTTTTCCCCACCATTTTTTTACAGAGTCTATGAAATAAGAATGTAAACTCATTTCACTCATTACATACATCATTTTAATGTTTTTCCAATTAAAACTAATATCTTTATAATTGTGGGATGACCTTAAAATAATCATGAAACATTGAAATTTGTGGAAATATTTGTGTCATCTTCAGCTCTTCTCATTTATTTTCATGTTTGATTAAAGTACATCTGCACATTAAAGGTTACATATTTTTTTTTATCTATAAACTCACATATTTTTTAAGGTTTTAATCTAACCTCAGAAAAGTATACATTACATTGATTAACTATTTTATGCTAGTTGATCATTTGAATACAGGTTTATATAAAAAAAGTAATTAAAGGTACAAAGAATCATATCTGAAAGGATCAAGGAATAATCCCTGATTCCCACCTTCCATATTTTTAAATAAAAGCTTTAAACATTAAGTAGAGTGAACATAAATACACCAAATAGTATTCTAGGTGTGGTGTGAGATATCTGTCAAAGAATATCTAGATACTTTATTTAACAAATAATAATAAACCTTATAAATCCAGTGATAAAACTTTCATGATGCTAACATATTCAGTATGACAGACTCTCTTCGGGCTGAAACCATTGATAGTCTCTCAGTAAAACCAAAAACATTAGCGTCATTAAAGTTTCTTCACTGGGTTTATGAGGTTTTTTACTTGTCAGAAAATATCTCAACAACAAAGTCAATACACAATATCAATCTGATATAATGTAGCTTATCAGATCTACACCATTATCTGTTACATTTTGTGCAATGCTATCTTAGTCATTTCAAAGTCTGAACTTCAAGGATTCAATAAATAATTTATTTCGGGAGCATTGCAAAACAGAATTAGTTATCGGGTTCAGTTTGTTTGTTTGTTAACTTATGGCAACGCATCACTTAGGCGATCTGCCAAAGGGGAATGCCTGAGAGGTCTTTTTAAGGGAAAATGGCCCCTATTTAGGCGTTACAGACGTAGAGAAAACCCGGAAAACTCCACATGGCTGGCCCATCCAAGCGAGGCGCAAACCCATGACCGAACTCCCAGTGTTCAGGGTACGAAGACCGCTCGGCCACTGGTGGGCTCTATCAGGTTCAGATTTAATGCCTTCCAGCCAGTGACAATTTTTGAATCTTATAATATGGTTTATTTTTTCCTATTCAAAAATTTTAATCAATATTTTTATGGTTTATTTTTTCCTATTCAAAAATTTTAATCAATATTTTTTAATTACAAATTGTGTATTTTCAATATTTTATTTGTATATAAATCATTTGAAGTATAATTTCCAAGTATTTTAAATAATTTAAATTTAAAATTCATGTCTGTAAGACTTAAAAATTTCAATTTTAACCAATAACTGGGTACTTTGTAAAGCATTCAATTATTGTTTAATGAGAAAACAATAACAATGTAAAAAATACATTTTTTAAAAATATTAAAATAATTGTGCAAAATTTTAATTGATTAAAATATATATATATAGAAGTTTGTTTAAAAAATATGTTTTTATCAATCACGTGTTATTCACGTGCCATTTTCATTTTAAATTATTCATTTTATTCCCCACGACAGAACTCGTATTTGAAGAAAATTAAATAATAAATTCAAATATTTTTTATGTAAAATAAATGAATTCTTAAAGACTTTATTAATTATAAATTTAATAATCTAAGAAAAATACTTACATATTCTTCGCTATTTAATTATTCTTCAGAGATGATGATGAAAACAAATGTACCGAAATTGAATTCTTTGTTCGGAGTAATTTACGAACACGCGATTCCTTATTCTGCAACTAGAGGCGTTCAGTTACTTACTCCGAATGCCAAATATGTTCGCAGTTAGTTCATTTATATAAAGATGAAGCACTAGTTAAAATTATTAATTAATTATTTATTATAGGAATTGATAAATTTTGTCTTATATTTATACTAAATGAAAAAAATAAAACATTATTTATAAAATTATGTACATATTTTACGTGGATAGTTTTTAGAACTAACATGGAATATCCCGAGCACAAAGTATAGTGTTCGAGTGTTATTGATAAAGGTCGAGTATTATATTATATGAAAGAAATATAAGAAAGTTTTAAATTATAATTAAGTGCCATGTGAGGTATAATTAATATATAATTATCAAATTATTTAACTTTAAAAATAAATTATATTTTATTAATTACTTCAAATTACGATGCTTTAAGATAAGTATTTTGCTAATAAAATGCGTTAAAAAGGTTCGATTCAAGAAAAGTTAGGGGCAAATATCATTAAAAAGGGGGGGGGGAATAAAGGTTCGCGGTTTTCTAACACTTTTCGTCTTATGGGTATTAAGAGGTCCTTTTTCTTAGAAAGCCCTTTCTGAGTTCGGGCAGGCTTACAATGGGCCGGCTGGGCGACAAGGGACGGGTCAGACATAACCGATTACCCCTGAAAAACAAACTATATGAAATAACCTGTCGAAAGGCCCGATACAGGCATCGGTGCATACTAAATTACAAATAAAAATAATAATATACTGAATATTGTACTGTAAAAGTATAAAATAATTTATATTGTTAATTTAAATAATGGCTAGGGGCTCCCCTAATGGCCGTTTTTGGCATACCGTGACAGAAACCATATTTTTCAGTTTTATACAGTAGATAATTATTATTTATGTTCTTTATTTGTTTCTAAACTGTAATTATTAAGATTTCTATAATAATTTCCTCCATACCATATTTATATATACTTCCATGATGTACGAGTCACTTAGATTTTACAAATACGTGAGCCGTTCACAGCCCGGCACACGTATTTGTATAATCTAAGTGACTCGTACAACATGGAATTCATATAAAACGGAATAATCAATAGTGTTATAGGGGGGTCGACTGTACTTCAAAAGTCTAGTTAATGATACCTATTTTTTAAAGGTGCAAACATAATTGATGTTTTAGTGATCGTTTTTTTTTTTTTAAATAAACTACAACTACCCCTATTGTTATTACGTATACAGAAGTCAGGCTATAAGGCTAAATAATTACTAAGAAATTTGGCAAGAGGCAGACCATCGTGGCTCGATGGCCTAGTTTTCTATTTCACTTATTTAGTTATTATTGCAGGCTACAGAATTCTCTTTTCAAACTAATTCCGTTAAGGTTGGCTAAAATACCAAATTGCCTTCTCTCGGTATATGTCTAAATTGTCACGTATTGAAGACTCCTCTCCATTATGTTACAATATGGGTATATACCGGACATAAGCGTTGTGTCATCTGTTATGATATTTTACTATAGAAAAAAAAAGGTTTTATATTTTTAACTACTATTAAAATGGCAAAAAGCTTAATTTTGAGGGTAGGAATGAGTTTTATAAAAAAAATTCTAAATGCTAATAACGAGTAAAATCGTCATTAAGTCCGACCTTACTGGAGATACTCACGACACCCTTTATCATCCTACCCCCTTAGAGCTTCAACCATCAAAATTTAATAGCGTAAATCCCCCTAATAAACAGACCTCCTGACAAAATTTCAGAAATTTTCGACAGAAAACACAGGAATTATTAAGCTTCAAAGAGGATGAACAAAATCGTGCCCCAAACACATACACATAACCCTGTAAGATCTAACAGAGCCCTTTTTTAGCAAGTATATCATGGGTTCGGCCAGGCCCACAGTGGGACGGCTGGGTGATGAGGAACGGTGCTCGATTACCCCAAAATTTCCTAGGGTTTTCGATCTGTCCGATTCGATCCCGGTAAGATCCTTACGCTTAGAGCAATGGGCTCTGAACTTTAGTTAATATTGTCAAATACAAACTGTCACTTTTCAAATTCAAACTATTAATACAATAATAGTAAACTAAGTGATTATTTTGTTTAACTGTAAAAGTATTTTTAATAATAAATTAACATTCCCTCACATTTAAGGTAGTTTTTCGGTTATTTTTGAACACTCAAAAGTTTCCAGTTTTATATCAAGTACAGTATAAAACATTAGTTTATTCCATACACTGTATGTGACACAATGAAGAATAGAACGTTGACCCGCTGATAATTTACCTATTACAGGATGCACTATCATGTGTAATTGTCTCTTGTCTTTTTCTACTTCGAGTTCTACACGATTTCACTTGCAGCGGGTCATAAGGTACAGTACATCAGCCAAGCATCTAACAAATTATCATCGTCGTCACCCGTTGATAATACACACTTAAAACTTCTGTAAACAGTAAAGATCTTCGAAGACTTTTTTTTAAGAAATATTTCTACAAATTTGCGAATCTTGATAACTTTTTCTTACGTGTAAAAATAAAAACAATGCCTTAAGTGTCATCAATCTTTTAAAAAATACAGTCGACCCCCCCCTATAACACGGTAGATACGTTCCGTTCTTTATGAATCTATTTTGTATGAGTCCTTGCCAATCACAGCCCGGCAC